ATAATCGTTTTCCATGGCTCGTGACAAACTGCCCATATGAGAAGTGGGTACACGCGGATCGAAAGAGTAGCCCGGACCGAAATTCGGAGGCGGAGTTCCCAGTCCCGGATCGTACTGCCCGGGTACTAGGAACGCATGAGGACCGAGGTTCGACAGAGGCATGGATACTGGATATGTGGGGCATGCCGAGAGATAGCCACGGTTCGAATCAATATTCGTGGATGGTATACCGTTGGGGTAGGCAGAATTAAGTTGTTGATCTTGTTGTTGTTGTTGTTGCTGAATTTCAGAGCAATGAACCATGGGCTGTTGTTGTTGTTGCTGCTGTTGATATAGTCCGATCGGATAAGGGCTCGGACCCATGGACAAGGATGGAGGTGGTAGGGAATGATGATATGATAGACCGTTCACATCTGGTGTCGGCGAGAGTGGATTTTGCGGATGTAGCAAATGCTCCTTCGGTCCCAAAGGCAATCCCTGATCCAACATATCGCATTCAGCTGAGGCGAATGTGCATGCAGATTTCAAAAAAAATGATTAGTTAGTTAGTTATTGGCATACAAAAAGAACCATAAGCATGAATTGAAATAACGCAAGATTGGCTAGTATTTCTAAAATCAAAAAAAGACCTCTCTGCCCTCCAAATAGGAGGAGTAACAATACAGTATTCATCTACTTGGAAATTAACTCCATCGGTATGGAACGATGTGTCGTATCTGGTAATTCGGCAATCAACCTTCTCCAAATCATATGTAACGAATCCAAGTTAAGCCACAACATCCGCAAAAATACAAAAGTTTAAGTCTGCCACTGTGCTCCGGAGCCAAAACAAGAATGGTCTGTGCCAAATTTCTTCCACAAGTGATAAAGGTCCTCAAATGATCGCCCACCGGTTGACTTTTCCCATTCTCTGTGTATTGCATGACAGAACATTGATTAGTCGCTTCCTGAAAACGGTATCCTTGTATGTTCAATAGAAGTAAACTAAAAAAGACAAGGAAACCTGATATCACCGCATACTCACAACATGACTACAGAGACAGATCCAACAGGAATGATCGTGGATTTTGAAACATAAGGTTTGCTTTTTCAACTATCATGAACCTGAAACGACGTATAAATGCCAATGCATAACAGAAACCCTGATTGGAAGTGGGTTGAGTGGAGTAGCCGGAGGGGGATATCCTGTGCGGGTACGACCATCCCGCTGAGAGTTTCCGACTTATTGCCCCAGATGCATTGTTAAAATGCGCCTGTTAACCGGGTTTGTCCGTTCAACAGGATAGTACATTGCTACAATCATTCATAACATACACACACACACACACGACCAACGAACCCCATCAATGATTAAAAAATGCGCAAAACTCTCATCAAATAGTAAAAAAATATTTTACTTTTTATTTCAGGGACGACTCTCTCCAAATCGGTTTCCTGGAATCCTATATCATTGATTTAAGGAATACGATACAAAATATCATCCCCGGTACCACTCGACCGAGGACACACGTCTAGCTAGCTAGCTGGCTATCGTACAGACAAGTGCTGTTCTATAGGGCAACAAGATAATAGCAACGACCTGAGCAGCCCGATATACGGTCACTTCACACTGCTCTTCACGAACATTTGTGACTTTGCTGCGCAGCGAGAGAGGGGTCGAGAGAAAATGAAAAACTGCCACATCCTCGGACGTCGCCGCTGATCTTCCACTGAAGCAATACTCACCATTTATTCACGATAAAATATCCTAGGGATCATGCTTGCGCTCCCACCCGCGATGTGGTTACGCACAGGAAGGCGTGTATTGGGCACCGTGGACGTTTGACCCCGTCCGAACGGCATATGATCCGATGAACTAGACACCGGTTTCCAATGCATTGCGATTTTCACCCACCGCCTCGCTGCCTTGTGAGTCAAACTTTGGCTAGCCGAAGGCTCCGGTTAAGGATTCCTCAAGAAAATTCAACTGCCTTGGCCTGGGTAACCTGGCAGTATTCCGCCCACAGGCAAATCATATAAATTTTTTTCTTTGTTCATAAAGAGTATTGTACCATGATTTATTTGGCGCACAGTCTGGCCTCAGACAAGTGTGAAATATATAATAATATAATGCCGGAAGGCGTACGGCTCTGCTGAAGACTTAAATCAACCAGGACTGGATGGAATATGGTAACAGGATACCGTTATTTATTGCTACCTCGAGGTTGCTTGGATAATAATCATCAGTCGACAGTATTTCATGAAGAAATATAAGTGTTGAGAACGGATTGATCATACTGGTAACTCGAGCTGATCCTAACAGAATGGTGAGACAAAATAAGGAACCACATTGTTTTCGAGTTTAAAAGATATTTATACCACTCAATTAGCTTACTATCAGTCCCATCATGAACGGAACCTCCACTGGGTGGTTCCCTTTTCAGTCCATAGGGTACGTTCGGCATCGTCGAATTGCTCGGGTAGTAGTTGATCGGGGCAAATTGCCCAGAGTATTTGGACCCGGTCATGGCCAGTTGCGGATGCTGCGCGGCCCAATAGGCCTGTTGTGGTTCGAGCATCATTTGCGCAGTCGCTGATTGCGGTGGTGCAGCGACCGGGTAATGCTGGGCAACTGATTGAAGCATGTGACGTTGCTGTTGCGTGTAGTCCGACATGAGACTGGCCATTTCCAAAGCATCGTCCTGTTGACGAGTGTGTTGACTGAGCAATGCCGAAGGGGGTGGTGGCGGTGGCGGACTCATCGGTGGTGGCTGTGGATAAATGAGTGATGAGCGTTGGGAGATCTGTCGTGATTGATGTGTGCCCGCTTCCAACGACTTGTTATTCTCCAACGCATTCAAATGATTTAGCATAAATGTACCAGAACCGGGTGGACGGCGAGTTAGCTGTGACTGTTCGGGGTAGCCATCTGTGAGAGGAGAGATTGGGGATTCGACATCCAATAGTTACTAAACCAAACTTATGATCACGGATACATTCGTGAAAGTTCAAATTCAATACAGATGAAAATCTCTGAAAGACTCTCATCACAGCATTTAGAACAAACACAGTTTGGCGAAACAATTGTTTTTCAGTAATTCCTTCTCAGACCGTTTACAGATTATATAGGTAACATTAGAAAACAGATCGCACAATTAGACACATCACCAATCATGGGTAAGAGTTTGTCATAGTCAACTGGCATTTGTCGTTTGATTCGTCTAACAAAGTTACGGCATCAGAATGACCGTAAACGGCTTGAGAGAAGGAATTACTGAAAAACAACTGTTTCGCTCAACTGTGTTTGTTANATGAAAATGTAAAAGTTCAGAAACAAGGAAAGAATGCAGTCATCCACTGTTTCACAAAAATAAAGGAAAGAATTCCGGGTACGAAAATGAAGAGTTATTAGTATGGAAAAATTCGGATGTCAACTGTTTGGTGCCCAATGGTCAGGTACGAAATTTCATATATACACACACGCAAAGAAACAACTGCAATACGTTGCCAGTTCCAGAAACTTAATTACAAGTAATAGTTGAATAACTTCATTGGTAGAGAGACGAAATAAACGATCCTTATCTATTGCTAACGGTTTGCGAGGCTGGGTGGGGGAGGGACATGAACAGCACATTGGAACGTGCATGAAACAAGAACGGGCAGAACGAAGTGTGAAAGTGCATAGGAACGAAGTGTTTATTATTGTAGCACCAAACTCATTACCATAGTTTTTTTATTGAAACGCCCCATAGGATGCAATAACCAGGTTCACTGGTTTCCACTTTTGTGTTTTGTCACACAAAAAAGAAAAGTTCATACGAATAACGAACCCCGAATAGAATTGTCCGCGATTAAAACTTGGAGCTAAATTGGACCCAACTAACTGAGGGTAGCGTTCAGTCACGACGCTTCGGTTCGTATGGAACTGCATTTTCATGAAGGCATCAATGTGCCACGCGCAAGGGAGAGAACAATATGAAGCTCAAAATATCTGACACATTGGATAAGGCCAAGACATTTCGTGGGAATACTTTGACCGAATGTGTTTTCGTCAAGAAAACGTTGAGGTGAGACATGGAATACTACAGTAGTCACCGAATGTGATGCATCCGAAGCTCTTTTACGTGCATCATTTGAGTTTTCCTGCATCTATTGGCTGTCTTCCGCTAGAGCCATTGAATTCCCCGCAGTTTTCTCTTATTTACGTGGTTTCCCGGCTGTTTAATTTGTAAATGAACAATGCACGACCTTGATCAGGAGTGCAAAATCATCTGAGCATAGAATGCCCCGGACGAGGGCAGATCGAGTGTGTAAATACGATATTTCGCAATGTCTAGCAGGCAAAGATTCGTCTGGTACCACGAGAACATTCAGAGGACTGTTTCTGTTTACCAAATCACGTGACGTGGCTATGCGAAGGAGTTTTTTTGTGATGCCCGACAGAGGATTGGAAAACAGTTTCATTGTTGTTGGGACTCGTCAGTAGTGTGCACATCTCGTATCTCGCACGGGACTGAAAGTGCAAACTTGCGGGTAGAAACCCCCGGGACTGCACGTCGATGGTCAATAACTTCAGCGAAAACCTTTATCCATGGAGAATGTTACGTTTGGGCAAACACATCGGGTTTATGATGACATAAGGAACTATTTTTAAAAGGGTACTCGATGCCTGAATACAGTTAAATTATAGATTAACTAAGAGGAACCTCAAAAGAGTGTAGGTCTCCTTTGATTTATCTACGTGAAATCCTTTCGGTTGATCGGTTTAGTCTTCGATGAACGAAAAGAAAGAAAGGGGAAGAAGCATAGGATCGTTTTTCACCAAAGTTGTTTTTATGAGAATGAGTTTGCACTTAGCTGAGGTCGACATGCTTTGTACGCATTTTTGCTCTCTCTCGATCAGATTGATTGGGGGAGAAGAAGGGTTGAGGACAATTCGAAATAAATGAATAGGTGATTAAGCAGTCCCATGGAGCTCATAATGAAAACACAAATTGGCAAACAAGCTCGTTTTCAGCGTGTCTTTATCAAGCCAAGAAGGATTTACAAGGAAAAAAGAGGGAAAGTAATAAAGTATTCAACAGTTAATTTCATAATAGGTGAATGTCACAATGTAGCCGTCGTCTGGGTGGTATAGTTCGTCAGCTCTTTTTTACGCTAGTCCGAATGCAATTAGGCTGATAGATACATCTTATTCCACAGGAAATATGCGGTCGAAATATTCGCTTTGATTGATTAAAGGGTAAACGTTATGTTGGTGCTTCTATAGTGACAACAGATATATGCGGAATATAATCTAAGTGCATGTGAATCTGGATAAAAGTGAAGCGCATACCTGATCGAGCATGAGTATCGACCGAACACCGCACGATGTGATCCGTGTTAGAATGAGAGGAGGTAACATGCTCAAATGTGTACGTAAAACGCAAACCACTATGATGGGTTTTGGGACTCGTGGGACTGAGTAAATTTGTTGACCCTGTGTGAAAAGTAGCCTCGGTGGGATTCGAACCCACGCATGGAAGCCGCCTACGCTTTTGTACAGCGCACGCCCTAACAGCTGATCTACGAAGCCACGCGGATAGCACTGATCTTTTCACACTAGAATTACCCATCCAACTTTCACAGGCATATGGCATCCACCAGTTAGCATATAAGCTGACCAACACGACAGGTTTTCCTTAGGATCCGCCAAATACAATCATGAGGTGAAGTTAATTGTTAAAACTGTTGTTTGGACTGAGTACCGTTTCAACACGATCACTCCTCCAGCTCAACATCCAGGATCCAACAGGCGGTTGAGAAATCTCTGTGTTGAAAGATGATCACCCAGATATCGATTTAAAGAGTAAACAGTACGAGGGCGTGGTAATTCCGATGAGGTAAACGCTCAACATGAACATCTGTAGTTGTTAGTGGGACAACTTGATAATAATGCCGGGACAAATTGATTCAAATAAATTATCGAACGGAGATTGTTTTTCGGCGACGGGTTGCAACAGATTCCAGTCGACCTGTAAGTTCATCGTTAGATTTGAATTGACAAACTGCGTGGAGAAAGGTTACCTTTTTTTAACTACAAAACCTAGGTGTGATGAACAACAGACGAGGCGAACCCCATAGTCACGAGAACCTGCTTTTCAGTGGTGGAAACCGGTAACCTAAGTCCCGGAACTTGGAGTGGCGAACCACATAAGGCCCCGATAGGTTAGGCGTGGTAATGAACAGGACGACAGCAAAGCTGTCTACCACCTGCGCTTAATGAAACTGCAGCTTATTATCCCCTATGATGAAAACAATGTACAGCGCATCGTTTTTATACACTTCAAACCCAATTTGGTCCTCATACAACGAAAATGAATCTTCTCCGACATGGTTAAAAACCCTTGAGAGGAGGATGGTATAACTGGTAGCGAAATAGCTGAGATCGAAAATTGCAAAGGAAAAGAACAGTTCGTCCGCGCGACTACCCCTTCTCCTCCCACTCGCCGATCCCAATCGACTATTCCCAGACCGATGGTGGTTACCAGTAAAAGAGAAACATTAACAACAATCAGATGGCGTTCATTGACAGACGTACCGCCAGACTTGGCTCCCGCACCATTTGTGTTATTGCAATAGAGCAACAGACGTTGCTTATCACGTTGCTGACGCCAGACACACAAGATCACCAGACATATCATGATCAGGATCATGAGTCCAGCCAGAGCACCCAGTATGAGGAACATGAGACGATTCGATTCGGTTGAGTTGAACGCCACACTAGATTCCCGAGTCTGTCCAGTTGCATCGACAGTCTGGCCACTGGCTGAGTTCATTGGGGTGTCCAATCCGGATTGGGGAATCGAGTCCTGTAACATCATGAAACCGGTATGTGAGTGGTCATAAACGAACGACAGTAGAAAGTAAATGTAGTGGCTAGGGTAAACCAACAGATGTTAGCAGAAAAAGATAATTGCCATCGTAAAGGAAATGTGAAAGGTTTTTAGGATTATGTATCGAGATTTAATGTTGTCTGAAATAGGGATTTACGACTGACAAGAAGCAGGTCTGTTCCCCATGAAGTAAAATAATTTTTGATGGGGGACGATTAAGGTTGGAAAGCGAGTTGGAGATAGGAATTGTGATTGGAATGTTAAGGAAAACAGACAGGTAGACTCGCTCCCTTGGGGAATAACAAACAGTTTTGTGGAAAAATTCCAATCTATGACGGGGTAAGAATAAGCGTGTTTTGCGCTCAAAAGGTTACGTCGGAGAGAGAGCGCAAAAAAGAGGAAGAACTGTTGTGTACTTTATCAAGGCATGAAACTAATTAGCCATCTTGC